AATAAGAGTTTACTAATACGTTACCAGTATTTAAGTCAGTAAACAAGGGGTCAAAATTGGTGTTCTTGCTTTAAATAAAATGTAAACGCGCAATTATCGTTGTTAAATTTTCTTCCATTTAAACTATGCTAAATTTAGTAAATATGACATTAGTTTTAGTTTTAATTATATAAAATAATAAAATTGATAATGTCGTAATACATTTTACGACAATAAAAAACTAGTCTATCTTAGGCAGCATGGCAACTGCTGAAAAAATGTCAAATTTGTGTGGAAGAACTTTGGATTTTAGGATGGAATAATACATTGTGAAGCAACTATATGTGCAATGGAAATAAAATTCTGCAATAACACTATTATCTTAACAACACATATCCGTCAAGAATGCCGTCCGAAAATGTGCCAAATAGTCAATTAGGTGGTGGGGATAGAGAACAATCACAACAGGGAAACATCCACACCTTTCTTATTAATAATAAAGTCATACAGCTTCCACCAAATTCCTTAAGAGCTAAAGAAATAATGAACATTGCTCACAGATTGGAGAAAAAAGCTGAAATATCACCTGAATGACGTTTCGCAATACGTATCAAAATACAGGGAGATATATCGCAATACGATTTTCAGCCGCAATACACAGCCCTAGATTCTGCATTCAAATTTACCTTTTCATTCCTTTTATTCTGAATTCTGTTAAGACCTTTTCCTCCTTTTTTCGCTTAACTGGAACTCACTCTGAACCCTGTTCCAACTTTTTTATTGAACTTCCAGTTGATACCAAGAATCCCAAACAGGCAAAACTCACTAAATGATCTCCGCAAAATGTATACAGTTTAAGAATGCACAAAGTTCTGACACATTTTCCCATTCAATATGGTTAAAGCTGAGAAAATCCATCTTGAGATGTTGGAATAAATTTATTTTTAAGTCCATTAAATATCAATTAGTTCCTAGATTTAGATCATGAACATAGATTACCACCATGTGAGAGCTACTATTTAAACAAAGTATAACAAAAATTGTGTCTAAACATGGTTCAATTTAGATTGCAAAATATGATTAGCAATTTACACACTAAATTTCAAGTTAAATTTTGATTTGCAAAAAAAACACGTACATTTTTAAAGCCTTAGCTGAATTATTTATACTTTATAAAATATGGACCCGATTTCATTCTAAGGGGACTATGTTAAGGTCTGTTTCACGTAGCTTTGTATGTTGTGTGTATGCATCTGCTTTTATTGGGGTTTATTTTAACTTATTCTTTGTTCTATTTGATGTGGTTGACATGAGCTGTGCAGCTCAGACAATCTAAATTGACTAACAGAAAGTGGTCAGTTTGAAAATTAAAGGACCTATCTCACTGGTGGAGACGTTGCCACGACTGAAATGACTGATCAGTCACGGCAACTCAAGTGACCATCAAATAGTCTGCACTCTCACCAAGTCAAGGAGACCTCTTCTTGTTGTCGCCAGACAGGTTGACAACCAATTTACCAGGGAGTCGCGGTGACGTCGTCGTAATGTTTCCCAGTTGTCTTTTAGGTTACTGGATCACAGACTCGTCTGTCACAAAAAAAATTAGTCTCTTGGACATCACTGGAAGATTGAGACATGGTGAAAATGTCTTAAGGACCTATTTAGAGACTGAGGTATTTTTCGAACAAAATTAGTCTCAATAACCAGCGGAGACTTGAGTCGCCAACTAGTCTCTATATCAGTGTCAGATAGGCCCTCAAATTGACTAATAGGAACTTATATACTTATATCATCATTGCTCCGAAATTTGGCTTTTAATATTGAAACAGTTATTTTTTTTTTAGTTACCTTCGTATTTGTCATGGTTGTTGTGTATCTTGAGCAATAATGGTTAGGTATGCTTATTCTTCTGGACACCTGATATCACTTTTCAATATGAAATACTTACTTATCACTTATGCTTGATATACTTCCTCATGTGAAAAATTCAGTAGCTGCTACCAATGATTTGCGGTTCGGGTTGTTAGTACTCTGTTTATTTATTATCATCATCATTTTTACTGACTGAATTAGCATGCAGAATGACCAAGAAACTAGTTGTATCTGTGAAATATCTCAATGTGATATTTTTCTATTTGACAGATTGATGCCAGAAAGAAAGTCATTCCGTGCCTATGCCGCTATATTATATATGGATCCGAGGATGAGAATCTATATCAATGGAAAGAAAGTGAGAACAAAAAGACTGGCATCTTGTCTCTATAAACCTAAATCATATAAATATTCATCAAGTCGATTTAAAACCAGGTCAGAAAATGTAGCTCGAGCTGCAGTAGAATCTGCTAAGTCTGCTGATCATAAAGCCAGGGAGGCAGAAAGTAAAGCCAAGTAAGCTAAAAATATTTTTTTTTTTTTAGATGAAACAACCTATTAGAATAAGTGCTGGCACAATGTTTCGGCAAATCGATATATGCGTATCGCGAGGTCGTGTATCATGTATTTATTCTGGACATTTTTATAAGTTGGTTTATGATATAACGATTTTTTTCACTGAAATTGTTAGAAACTGGATTAAGTTATGAATTAATAATTTTAAACCTTCTATTGATAGAAGTTGAATTTTTATCCCATTACCCTAAATCGTGATATGGCGGTCGTATCCTGACCCATGTATTGCGATACATATTGTAGCATGGCATGATTGGCGATACCCAGCACTAATTAGAATAGGCAAAAAGTTTAGCTTTGTTGAACTTGGCCAACTTGAATAATAGTATTCTGAACTTACCTGATCTCATAACTATACAACAGAATCCATCTATAATCCAATAAATCCATAAAACTTCAAGTCATTATTGAAAAAGGCTTAAATTTTAAAAAATAATTACCAGGATCTTTTATTCATGTACGTAATTCAAATTTTATTGATTCTTCAATTGAAATTTTAGCTTTTATATGGATGATCGGCTTAGATTGACTTTGTGTTCGGACCCAAATTTCCATTTGTATCATAATTGATAATGTGTAGAATATGTGTGCACTCTGATCAGTACAAAGTCAAGACCATTGTTACTATTTTGAGGGTTGATCTCCCAGGTAAAGTAGCAAGTGATTGCAAGTTTTCAAATATGAAATTATTTTTATTTTATGATCTATTATTTCAGAAATTTAGAAAAAAAAGTTGGCAGCTCAGTAGCTAGAGATGCAAGAGTAAGTTTTTTGAAAAGTTTTCTAGTTATTTCCCTTGTCTTAGTAAAAATGCTTCAAATTTGGCTTGTGGACACAGTATAGACTACAGTATTTATTGGATCTTGATGAAATTAAGTATTAATTTTGTTAAACACATAAATTGATGAGATTTAAATATATTTAAAGAGAAAACTTCTATTTCAGTCTCTAAATACATTTCCTACAATTGGGTGTGTGATACCTTGCCTTGCAGGCTATCTTTAATGTTTTATTCAGTATTAATATTACCCTAAAATCAGTGGACTACTTGTATATATGTTTTGATCCTTGTTTTGTGATTGACTATATAGTTTCATGATCATTAATAATATTTCTAACTTGTGTTTGTAGGCTGAGTTACGGAAAGCTCAAACATATGCAGCTGAATGTCGACGTGAAGCTCAAATAAAGAAACAGTTAGCAGATAGAAAAAATAAGTAAGTATTTATGTTATGGTAGTTAGTTCTTTAGTTCTGTTTAAAATTCATGGGGCTCCCTCAATTGGTGAATTCAGAATGTTCTGGATTCATGGAATCAACTGGACATGTGCTGAAAAAGTAGTCGATGTACACAGAATGATTCAGGTGTATTTCGTTTGTGTTGCTTCTTTTAATGTCAGCAAATAACCGAGTGATGGCATGGCCTCTCTTGGTATATGTTGGATTCTCAACATCCGTCTAAGCCTATTCTGTCGCATTCTTCAAAAGATCACCACCATAAAAAACAGTAGAAGCTGAATTCTACTATTGTTTTCATGTGCCATCTCTTGATAATGTTGATTTGCGGGTGCATCCATCTTGGAATTAATGACCTTCACCCACTGTGAGAAGTTTAAGGGATAGGTTGTTGAGGGTGCATTGGTTATAGCACTGTCAGTGTGAAGTGCTTTGTATCGCTACCAAATTGAATGTGCTATAACAAGATCGCTTTCAGCAATAGAATGTAAATTTTGATCTTCAAATATTTATACCTATAAAGTAACGAGAATAATGTTGTAACATGTAATCAGAATTAATCACTCTGAGTGGAACTGGTATATAGTTTTAAATCTAATCTAATATATTTATTTCTATTTCAGAGCATTAAAAGATCCCAAGTCTTTAAATTTTATATTTGGTGTGCATTTAGAGAATAGAAACCAGGATGGTATATTTGTATATAATTGTAGTCGTCTTATTAAAATGTATGAAAAAGTTGGTCCACAAATGGAAGGTGGAGTGTAAGTATGAATGAACTTTTTTTTCTGAGTAAACTGAAGTACCTGGTGTTATGACTAAATCCATAAAACTAAGTCATCAACTCATTATCCATAAAACCACTGAATATTTTTTAAAATGCTTAATATTTTTGTAAAGATTATCGGCATATTTATCTGTGGAAATGATTATTACATGACATCTTTTATTCTTACAGATCCTGTAGTGGAGTTATAGGTAAGTCCATTATTTTATAACATTTTTATTTCATTTTCATGTTTTGAGGATAATGAATTCAAAAGTTTATTCTGTTTGACTGAAACTTTTTATTGATTAATTGACAAACGACTTGCTATGTATATAAATCTTGCATTGGAAATACTAATAAGAAGTAGATTATCTTCCAGATTTTGTTGATGATTATATTGTGTTTCAGGAGTGGTTGATATACCATATTTAATATTAGAACCAACTCATAATAAACAGGATTTTGCTGATGCCAAAGAATACAGATATTTATTAAGAGCAATGGGAGAACATATGACACAATATTGGAAAGATGTTGGCATAGGTAAGATTATACAAACTAAAATATTTAAAGGGACGTTCCACTTTTTTTGTAGGTCAAATTTGTGAAAACTATACACCAAAATGCAGAGAAAGGTGTCCTTTAACGTATCTGAAAGTTTTAACTTGAAAAATCCAACCGTTAATTTTTTAAAGCCAAAACTATTCTTATGTAAACTATTAAAGTTGAAAATTACTTAACGGATTTAAGTAAAATAAAGTACTGATTGTATAGAAATACATATTCTAAAGGTTTCTACTAATAATATTAAGCCATTATAAAGCCTAACATCAAAACTAGATCAAACTGCTTAATTAACAATTAGTACTCTCCATTTTTATACGCCCACATCTCTCTATGTGGACGTATATTGCCGGCACCCCTGTCCATCGATCCGTCAACATTTGCTTGTAAACACTCTAAAAACTACAGTCTTTGAAGGAATCAAATAAAATTCGGTATGTGCATACATATTCATGAAACGAAGATCAAGTTCGAATTTGAGATATTTTCGATTTTAGAAGCAGAGTTATTGCCCGTGCCTAAAAATCTTGAATATGCTATTACTCTCTTAGTTTCAACCGATTTTGATGAAACTTAAAATGGATGTTTCGTTTTTACCATCCGCATGCCTGGTGGGTGTATATGGCTGTGGTCCACTATCTTTGATAAACCTTTTTTTAACAAATTCAGTTTTATCAAGAAGATACATAAATATAGATATCTTACTTGACACATTTTTGACGATAAAAACTTTTTTCAAAAAGGGGAATGTTCCTTTAAGTACTATAAATTGAAATCGAAACCTTCATAGATGTTGACTTTAATTTTGATATTTTATTTATTTCAGTTCAACAAGGAGTTACTAAGTTTTGGTAAGTTTAAGTACTTGTATTTATGACATCCAATTTCCTTTTGATGAAATTTTGACCTCTTTTTATTTTGATTATTTGAAATATGCTGAGGAACAATTGAAAAATCAAAAAAATTCAATTGAGTTACCAATGATCAAATGAAATGTTCTTGAGTAAGCTACAGTGATCTAAATTCCAATATGTCATAAAACTAGGAATCGTAGGTTTTCAACCACAGGGACATGTCACCAAGTCGGGACATCTACTACTCTTTTCTTTGGGAACACTTGATGTGACACACATGAAAAAACTATCCAACAACAATATATGTATCTCCTATGGCTCAGTTGTCTTTGAGTACTCGTAGAATTATTTGTAGCATTCTATGTACTATACCACCAGAGGCTTTGCCTGGTATCCATTCATATATTCAATTTGGATATTGGTGTTGGTGGATATAGAAAAATTGACAATGATTTATGGAGTTGCTTCATAAAAGCTTGTGTATTTTCTATGGACTGTTCACATAATATTGTTGTGATATTTCAGGGAAAATTTTGGTTATATCAGTAGTAATTGGAAAGATCCACCTGCAGATGAAGGGAAATATTTAAGAAAGAGGGCAATGCAAATAAACAAAACCTTACAATGTGGTGAGTAATTCATGCTTTCAATTCTCTAAGAAAATAAATCTTTACATTGCAATTCTACAGTTTGATTAAATATAACAAATGAGACATGGTGATCCATACAATCATTTATTTACAACAGCATATTAATAATCATCATATCCTGAATACAGGTTTTGACATGGTCTTATTAAGCCAAGTACAATTGGTTTTGTGGGCGTGGAAATAAGATTGGTGCTATTTAAATCTGACCAATCAGATTGGTAGAACGGAAATGAGGTCATGTAAACAAAATCGCTTTGCCTTCGCTGTTAGAAGAGATAAGAACACATTCTTTCTAAGTAAATATTCCAAAGTGAGGTTTGATTTTCTCTCGGCTTCAATTCTTTACCAAAATTCTTACTCATTTCTGTACTGACATATTCATCAAAATATGCAATGGCATGCCTTCGGTTTGTTTACATTCGCCAACAAAGCATCATAACAAGTTATTTGTTTTGATTGGTTGAGATTTTACTAGCAAGACAGCAGGGCCAATTTTGATTGTACAATATTTATCTATGAATATGTAATCTTTCTCACTTGTGTTACCACAGTCTCAAGTAATGGAGGTGTGGTTTGCTCACGATGCTTGATAATGTTAAAAATGAAGATGAATGTCGTTTTATGATCAATTCATAAACTTTGACAGTTTGTAACAATTTTAAGGATACATCTCGTCTAGAGAAAATACATATAGCTCCTATAGTTTTCTAAAAAAAAAAAACAAATTCATAAAATTTTGTATGTTTGTATATATGATTAGAACATGTAGATCAGGTGAGAACCATGTAAAAAAGTAGCCATATTAGGATTGATCCTTAAAAATTTTATTTTGTAGATATGTGTCTAAAATGGCGTATTTTACCCTTCTCTTCGGCTGATATTGGAAAAGAATTTGTTGAGAATTGGGTTTGTAGTATGAATCCTGACCAACAACATAATAAGTAAGTATTCAGGGGTTTAGTTTAATGGGTTTAAATTTGTCAATGTATTGTTTCAACAGTTTTAGAGTTAAGGTGTGCTACCTCTGCAGATGACCAAAAAATTTAAATTTGGCCAAAATGAGTCAACTATACAATCCCTCTATAATCCAATAAATCCATAAAACTAAGTAATAATTCATTATAATAATATTATATCTTATATAAAAAGGAATTTCAATTCAAGTACTTCTGGGGGGCAAACGTCCAAATCAAGAGGGGAAGTTTAGGTACTGATATCTTTTTGACCAAATTTGAGACTTAGATTTTATGTCCAATTTAGGAGGAATACCTTTTTCCCAACTTTTTTTCCAAAATCTGAGTACATAATGGATAGTTTTTATCGATTCATGTTTAGATTGACCATTGACTAAGACTTTAATATTATGATTTCTGATGTAGATGTTCAGCAATAGAAGCTAAACAAAATATACCAGAAGGAAGATTACAAAAAGAACAGAAATCTAATGAACAAAAGAAAAAAGATTTAGAAGAGGTAACTATGCTTATCACTTGATTATCATTATTGGCAAGGGTATTCACCATCATTAGAGATTTGAAATATAGATATTTCCACCAGTATTGTATTGAAGGAGCACCTTCACTTCACTTTCCGTTCAATCAGTCATTCCTTAGTTTCGGAAACAGGAATTTTTTTAGTTTACATAATCAGTTATAGTGTTCACAGCTCATTTTCGAAATTTTAGTGTTCAAATCCATGTGTATCCATAATTATTCACATTTTAGTGAGACTATGCCATATATAGAAAACACATAATAGACAGTGAAATTTCTAGTTTGAGGTATATTTGAAGGGATTATGAGATTTTCGTGTGTTTTAGTACTTCTTAAGACTATTAAAGCATAATAAAGACCCAAATCAATTCCCAAAAATGCTGACTGTTCCCCTTTAAGTGATCCCTTTGAAAAGAAACTGTGTTAGTTTTTGTTTACGTACCCATCCACTGAAGTAGAATAAGCAGATATGCATACATTGCTTCAGGTGCTAAATTTATCTTGGCTTTCGTTAGCAATATAATTTAATTCAAGCCCATGCTAAATAGATTACATAAATGCCCCTCACTTAGTCTATTATTCATTGCTTGTTTGTTCAGTATTATTGTATTTTACATTACTCTTTTTTGTAGGAAATCCGTAAAAAGGCTGAAATGTTAGAAAAATTAAAGGTAGGCAAATAATGAAATACTTCTTGTGTTGATTGATAGAAGAAATCGTGTTAGAAAATATAGAGAAATTTGGTTTGGAATTTAGTTTTATTTAAGAACAAAGTTTCAATTTAGTTTCAACCAGAGTAATATTTGCTAATAATGTCTGAAGCTTCAAAATTTTGTTCAACTAGTAAGGATTATGTATATAAGCTGTATATTAGGTCATTATTAGTTTAATGATGTTAATACTATTTGTATATTACAGAAACAAAAAGTGATAAACTCTTCACGTGAGTTAAAGGATTTAGAAAAGGATCATGAAAGGGAGCGTGAATTACAAATAGAACGTAAGCGTATTGAGAGAGAAAAGACTCTAGCTAGGGAACAAAAAGAACGTGAACGCTTAAAAGCAGAACGTGAAAAACAGAAAGTAGAAGATGAAAGAAAGAAAGAAAGAGATCGGGAACGAGCTCTAAGAGATCGAGAAAGAGCTGCTGAGCGTGCTGAGAGAGAAAAGGAAAAAGCTTTTGAGAAAAAAGAGAAAGATAAAGAAAAGTTAGAAATACAGAAACAAAGAGAAAGAGAAAGAATAGAAAGAGAAAAGGAAAGAGAACGAGAAAGAGCAAAGGTAGTGGCCAAACTGTACTATTTAAAATAGATATTTTCTATTTTACATCTATTCAAGAGGAGTACATTGGACTATCTTTATAAAAAAAACAGGAAATGTGGAAAATATTAAAATTTCTGACAACCTACACAGTGATAGGAAAATAGCAGTTCTATTGTCTATGCAACTTGAAAAGATTTTTGAATTTTTTTCCGTACTTTTTAAGAGAATTATACCCCTTATGCACTGCACAACTGAATTATTGAATTCGGTTATAACCGAATAGAAAAATCCGATTCAGTTTGATTCGGGTTGCTTTCGCACTGCAATCCTATCTGGATAGTCGCTTTTGCACTGCCGAGTCAGGTTATCTAGATAACTTTTTATTTTTAGTAACACATCATGTCACGTGACAAAACATTATCACGTGATTGTCACCCCGGAAAAAACAAATATGGACGCTGGCAATTATAATTGGAGCAACGATGAAATTCACTGCATGCTCGCTGTGTGGGGTGATACTAAAATTCAAGATGAATTAATCCTTTTCTTGTGATCGTCAAATACCATTATAACGTCCCCGCCAACAGGAGCCATTTTGAAGTGTTTATACACGTGACACCCCACGTGATAAAACTTATCCGGATAACTTCTTGTTTGGTTTCGCACTGCCACTTATCTGGATCGTATCCAGACGAAATCCACCTCTTGAGGTAGGTTTTTCTATCTGGATAATTTCTGGTTATAACCGAATAAGTTTTTTTGCCAGTGCGAAAGCAACCGGAAGTTATTCAGATAGAACTGGATAGAATCGAATTACTTTTGCAGTGCGAAAGGGGTATAAGTATATCATCCTCAAAATAGTACTGTTAGTCTTAGAATGTCTTTGTGTTGATAAAAATGTAATCTTTTTTAAGTTTACATTGAAAAAAAAAAACACATTTCTCTTATATAGAAATTTCAACCCAAAAAAGTCATAAATTTTGGCTGAAAATTGTCTTCTGTAAAAGCAAATTTTGAAGACATAATGTGTGCTCATGCTTATATTTTTATCAATGTAAAGACATTCTTAGACTAACACTACTATTTTGTGACTACTATTCCAATTCTCATTAAAACTTAATGGACAAATTTCAAAAAACTTTTTACTTTGCTCAGACAGTAAGATACTTCCCTCAAACAGATTTTCTTTTGGATACTATTTATATAAGCACACAAGTTCATCATTCATCATGTACAATTGATAATCATATGATTTCAATTCTTATTTTAGGCTGCAAAAGCAAGAACTGTAGCTCAAGCTAAATTAAAGTCTTCACCAGTCAAATCAAAACCTCCACCTAAGTCCAATATGAAAGCTATCAAATCTGGTCCAAATCAAGGTGTTCAAGTTATCTCTAGTGCTAAATTAAAAGAAACTAGTCAGGTAAGGTTATTTATACATAAACTCATAACTTAAACTTAGAACATAACACAGTTTAAGGGTAGCCAGGAAAGGGTTCTGTTCTACCAGCTTGTCCTACCAAAACCTCACAGCATTGATTTTTTCAGGATTACCCACACCCATTTACAGTGTGGTAGACTGGAATAATGAGGGTATGAGACTTTCAAACGCTGTGATTAGATCCAACAACTTCCATTTTTTAAGACATATCCTAGCAAATGACATCATTCCAACTCTCTAACCTACTGTACTACAGCCAGTCCTCATAAATTTCAAGGCCTATTATATACTAATTGAAAACAATACAGGAATAATCAATTTATGGATAATGTTGTTAAATGTATTCAGGTATATCAGTATGGTTTTCATTATTTTACATGTTGAACCACATACTTATTCTCTGTATTTTAGAAACCTGAAATCAGAAAGCCAGCATACATTGAATCTACACGTCGAGCTTCATCTGTATCATCAGCGAGTGAATCTGATGCTGATACACCTTTAAAACGGGGGAGAAAAACAGAGGATTCGGAAATTGATGTTCCTGCAAAAAAAATAAAATCCAGTTCTACTGATAGTGATTCTGATTTTGTTAAAGATAGGGTAAGTGTGACTGAGTAAACTTAGAGTGATTAAAGTGATTATTTTGCTCATACACCATCATTTTTTAAACCTCCATTTTGTTTATAGCTGTCCTGATGAGGATTATAAATTCACAACATGCATCAGCTTTTGAGATGAGATGAGTAAATTGTTATATATTTAGAAGCATGTATTTTTTAGCTTGAGAATAATGAAGCTGATGCTACTAGTGATAGTAAGGAAGAAAATATGGAAGTAGATAAAAATGGAGTCACATTAAATGATGCTGATAGCAATGGTAAGTATCATACATTACCAACGTGCATACTGGTTGTAGTCCTTCACAACACATGTTGATTGGTTTAAAATAACATCGTTACAACCAGGGGATTGCTCAATTGGTGAGTTCTGAATTTATGGAATCAAGTGGAACAGAGCTTTCAATAAAACAAGTTGGTACAGTGTTCAGAACACTTTCAACGTGTGCCGAAAAAATAGTAGGCAGACAGATTTCAAAACTCCAATTGAGTATAAGAAGACACACTTTAGACTTGATAAGATTAATGTGTTGTTAAAGGGACTGGCGCGCCATTCTTTTTGACCAATCATACTTTAGCTAAGCCAATCAATAATAGTGTTCAGAGCACATCGTCCAAATCCATGCCTGACCAGAATTATCCTCGATTGAATGTTAAGATATATATAGAAATAGAGAGTATAATTCCTATAAATTTTTGAAGGAATTTTGCGATTTTCGTATATTTCTAGTATTTCTGAAGTCTATTTACATATTTTCAAGACTAAAATCAACCCCCCAAAATGATGCATCTGTCCCTTTTACTTATGAAGAACAGGGAATATTTCCCTCTTAGAATCAGGGAAATAGCTCTTTCAAGTTCAATAGACAATATTAACTTTCAACACCTTCCATTAAAGTCAGTCTAATCTAAATTAGAACAAATTTCTAAAAAGATTTAGAATAAAATAGGTCTGGTTTATGAGTCTGGTTTAAAAGCCATGTTTTGTACATTGAATATTCATATTGATTATTTTATATTTCAGATGAAGTGGGAACAAGAGTTGGAGCTCTGGTCAATGGCAAATGGTTAGTTTCTATTGATTTCTTTACATTAATCAGTTCTTCTAGATGAATTAGAGGTTTATTTTGAAAGTAAAAAGAGCAGAAGAAGGCTTCTGTCCAGCAAAAATTCCATATTTGTACACTGCATGGTGTTGCCTGTCTTCTTTAGCCCAAAGAACATTCATTGGTTTTTATTCCTTTTAATCCATGATATCATCCAAGATACCATATTCAGTAAATATTTTGTCTGTACATTAAGTAACCACTATTTGAAATGTAAGCAAAATAAATCCTGTAGAATTAAATTTTCAAACTAGATGTGTTTCAAGTACTTAAAACGACAGTATATTCTGTCGATATACTCTTTAAAAGCTCTGTGGCTCTCTTTAAGCATACCCGTCTTCATTAGCCCACATGGTGCAGAAAAGTAGGACGTAAAACTCCATTCATTTCATTTTATTTCCCTTTAAGAGTAATCTCCCTTCTTATAATTAATGTTTTTATTATAAAGGTATATGGGATGTGTAGTAAAGGTGGCAGCAGATGGTAAATGGAAAGTGAAATTTGACAATCATCCTAAAGACAAATATGATAAATGGTAAGTTTTGGCTTTTCTTTTTATACGCCCACATCTCTCTATGTTGATGTATATTGTCGGCACGTCCGTCAACATTTGCTTGTAAACGCTCTAAAAACTAGATTTTTTGATGGAATCAAATGAAATTCGGTATACATATTCATAAAACAAAGATCAAGTTCGAATTTTAGCTATTTTCGACTGTTAGAAGCAGAGTTAATCAATTGCTCGTAAACACTCTAAAAACTAGAGTGTTTGAAGGAATCAGATGAAATTCGGTATGTGCATACATATTCATAAAACGAAGATCAAGTTCGAATTTGAGCTATTTTCGACCGTTAGAAGTAGAGTTATTGCCCTTGCCCCAAAATCTTGAATATGCTATTACTCTCTTAGTTTTCAACCGATTTTTATGAAACTTAAAATGGATGTTATTGGACCTAAATCTAAAGGTTTGAGAAAGTTTAGTTTACTTCTGATTAAATTTAAGGCTTTTTCAATATTTAGGCCTCTTACGTCAGTTTTGAGAAGTTATTGCCCTTTAACCTCTATACGCTAAATGCTTCTATCAACATCATTTGCTTGTAAACGCTTTAAAAACTAGATTTTTTGATGGAATCAAATGAAATTTGGTATGTTCATACATATTCATGAAACGAAGGTCCGTCCGTCCGTCAACATTTGCTTGTAAATGCTCTAAAAACTAGATTTTTGGATGGAATCAAATGGAATTCGGTATGTTTATACATATTCATAAAACGAAGATCAAGTTTGAATTTGAGCTATTTTCGACCGTTAGAAGCAGAGTTTTTGCCTTTGCCCAAGATTCTTGAATATTTTTCAATAAATAATCCTATTATGACATTGACATAAAAGAATTAGTACCGTATTGTAAACAAATGAATGTCTTAATGGTTGATATACAATATCTAAAATGGCCTATCAGTCTGAAATTGTCTAAGCAAATGCTTGTTTTGTATTATTGTGTAAATCCCAGTATGTGAGAGAAATACAAGGTAGAACAAAACAATCTCAAAATGCATGAGGTCCATATTAATTTTGGAGCGTATATTGATGTCCTACTGTCCGTCTATAATTGCTGGTAAACACATTTCTTAACCGATAAACCCTTTTGAAAATTTAAAAAATAGGAAATATTTAGTATGAGTTAGTGCCCTTGTTCTTGAAAATGAATTCAACTTTTAGCCTGTATACACTCTAGAAGGCACAATCTGGACGGATTTCGACAAAACTTGGTGAAATTATTCTTTAACCCTATTAGAAATAAAGTTTTATCAAAAATAAGTTGCCCTTGTTCTTGAGAACATGTTCAGTTCTTAGCTTGTATACACTCTAGAAGGCATGATCCTTGACAGATTTTGACAAAAATTTCTGAATAACGTTGCTAATAACGAACCCTTTTGAAAATAAACAAAATCGAAAAATATTGGCCTTGTTCTTAAAAAGGGGTTCAAGTTTTAACTATTAAACACTAGAAATGAAATGAAATGAATGGAGTTTTACGTCCTACTTTTCTGCACCATGTGGGCTAATGAAGACGGGCAACGCCATGCAGGGTGCAATGAGGGAAATTTTGCCAGGACAGCGGCATTAGCCTACTCTTTTTCGATTTCCAACTGTCGAGGGATCTTTAACGTGCACAGCCTGTAGCACACAGGGCCTCGGTTTATTGTCCCATCCGAACGACTAGACGCTTTTTCCATGTCAGCCCCTCTTAAACACTAGGTTTGATTGGTCATTATTACTGTACTCTACTTATTTCAAATCAAAACTGCCAGTGGGCATACTTCACCTTGTCTGGCAAGCTATCTTAGTTGTTTATTACTTGAAAGGTGTTGTTTCAATGTTGAAATTTTATTCTTCCAACAAGAACCAGGTCCGTGTATGCCCATTTATTAAATTTATTACTGTTAATTGTTTTATATAAAATACATATATCATATATATACAAATAGAAGAGTTGTCTGAAGATCGCATAGCATGAAACTCTGAGTAACAACATTGTTTTTTTAGGTTCTGTTTTAATATTTCTATAAACAAAGTTACATATAGAATCAGCATATTGTTGTTTTTGGTAATTACAAGCATTCATTCTAATTATTTGGAATGAAATAAGGCATCAATTTCTGAATAAATTCTCTACTATAGAAAAAACATTTATTGTTAAAGAAAGTGAATAAGAAAAGTATCTGTAAGTTGACAGAGTGGTGTCATGATTGTTCAGACATCTGTTAAAATTAACAGTATTTAAACTATCAAATTACATGGAATTCTTTCTTATTCTTCTTCTTCTGTCATTAATTACCTTTCTTTATTTTTATTTACAAGAGTTTTTCTAAAAACTGTTAACATATATCGCGGATACTGATATCCATTGAAATGAAAATTTTCTATCAGACGTGTATTTGACGTTACTAATCTCCAAGGGCTTTGTATGATAAAGCTTATTTTGCGATTAGTGACATCATCAAAAACTTATATTTTGTGGAATTGCAGGAACCAGACGTCTGACTGAAAATTGGAATTGGAAAATTGGCTATCAGTGTTCCCAATACACATGAAAAAATTACAAAACCTCTTAACAATCTTTTGTACCATTTAGATGCCAGTATTTTGGAATCTTATGAAAAGTCACACAAAAAAAAAAAAATTTATTCCATCAATATTACTGCAAAGTAGATGAATTTGTACTTAGTCAATTATTTTTTTAACAAACTTTAAATTAGATTTACATAAAAATGATATTAGAATCAATGTAAGTCATAGATTAATCCAATTTATATTTTTAAAATTTGTTTTTTAATTTACAAATTGTGTAATAAGAAAGAAAACAGTATGTCTGATATTACAGATTATCAATATGTCAGTCATATAGTACAAAACCTTTAAACTCTGTCTTACCCTACTCCCGTTACACTGACCCAAGGGTATTGTCTAAACCTTCGTCTAATAACGGTCTCATAAATTCTTCAGTCGTAGACAAGCCACCATGAACAGGTCCCACAGGGAACGGAAAGAATGATCCATGTCCTTTATTTACACAAGACAATCATTTGAATCTAATTGAATGTAATTGGCGGATGTTTGACTAGGGTCGAGGTTCAAATTGAATCGAGTGAGCGTTGGGACTATCACCTAACAGCGACATAAGGTAGCTCTGTCATTTGTTAATGTAAATTATAGACTTGACTAACTTTAACAATAATTTAATAATCTCTTTCTGCCATCTTGATGATTAGCTAGAGGCTGGTTGATAAATTATAACTCTTCCAACTCAGACAAACCCCCTTTTCTCCTTTTGATCTTCATACAGAAGACCGTTAGTTCAGGCTTAAACTGTTACATTCTTTAATTACAATGTTACTTTTAATTGTTAATTAAACAGTTCATATTCTTCAAGAAATTTGATGAAATTAATACTATAATCAATAATCTGTTTAATGAAATAACCAGATATTAGGTTTTAAGTCTTTTTGATAAATTAAGCTTTTATCTTAAGTGACAAAAAATTGAAATGAAAGTCAAAGTCCATAATTTTACTCGTTCATTTGCAAAAAAATATTTGAGTTTTTCTGTTTTAAATTTTCATAAAATTTCATTTATTCTGATATTGGTCGCTTTTTTTGTAAAACATTTTCATTATCAAAAACGTCATAAATTATATCTGAAAATATTTTTTAAAGTATGCTATTTATCTTCTCGATCAGACTGAATTTGTTTTAAAAGGGAGGTACTAATTGTTAATTAAGCAGTTTGACCTAGTTTTGGTGTTTGGCTTTATAAAGGCTTGATATTATTAGTTGAAACATTTATAATATATAGAGACATATTTCTCTACAATTAGGCGTTTTGTTCAGTAGTTTTTTTACAGCTTCCAAGAAGCATAACAAAGTTTACATAAACTTTTCGAATAGTTTTGGCGGTAAAAAATTAACGACTGGATTTTTTTAAATAAAACTTTCAGGCATGATAGGGGACACATTTCTCTAAAAGAGTCGTTTTTACAAATTTGTGCAAAAAATCTTTCCGACCTGCATAAAAAGCGGAATGTTCTTTTAAGCAACTTAAATTGAATATATTGTCATTTTTTTGGTCCACATATGAATGTAAATTATTACTTAAGTCCTCTAACTTATAAATTTATTAAAAGACTTAGCAGTCCTTAAATATTCCGTCCTACAGCTTCAATAAAAAGTTCAATACATAAATGTTGTCTGTTATATGATAATGAATTTACTGGTATCAACAAAACATCAAATAACAACCTTTTGAACTCATTGTGTTTAAATAATTGTTTAAATAATATGGCCACGTGTTCTTCACTTGTATAATAGCCTCAAGGTGTAAAGACTAGCGTGTGGTGTGAGTGTGTCCTACACAAGTTGTTATCACTCATACAAGGCACTCGTCTTGTGTTTTGGGTTAATATTGATGGATTTATTACCAATCATTAAATTAAATTGTTTGATTGTAAGAGATATATAGTGCAGTTTTATTTCAAATAGTGATTTGGTTTGTTAAGAGATTTACTTTCAATACTAGAAATTGTAACATATTCTTTGTAAATATATTTATTTTTTTGTAACAATTAGTTGTCATTTGCAAAAAAATATAATGGATGTTGATAAGTGAACGATAAGATCTAATATTGAATAGCAATAATTGTCTGAGCAAAGTAAAAAGTTATTTGAATTTTTTTTTATATATTTTATGAGATTTTGGAATAGCAGCCTCAAAATAGTACTGTTAGGTCCATTTTCAGCCAAAATTTGTGATTCTTTGGGGTTGAAATTTCTATTAGGGAAATGTGTTTCTTTTTAATGTAAACTTAAAAAACATAATATTGATGGTTTTTATACGCCCACAGTAAAAAGGCATGATTCTTGCTGGATTTTGACAAAATTTGTTTTATTATTCAGTCCCGCGCTTCTAGAGTTTTCACGAGCTAAGAATTGATCACGTTTTCAAGAACAAGGGCAATAACTCATACTCAATATTATTCAGTATTGCCCTAAAAAGTTCAAAAGAAGTGTATGACTGAAGGTCAAATATTTCATACTGGTGATTGTTACTGTACTGCTAAATATTTATATTCAAAATCAAAGCAGCCAGTGGGCATATATTACCTTGCCTGGCAAGCTATCTTTGTAATTGTTAACCACATTCAAAAATTAATCTGAGGATAATAAAATCCCCTAGCCATCTAAATCTCTATTACATTCAAATTCAAATTATACTAACACTAATTCATTTGCTTTGATACAAATATTATATGTTATGATAGAAATATTTCTATATCGCTCTACAATTGATGTATTGAGCACTATTTCAACAGTGGTATTTCTATATCGCTCTACAATTGATGTATTGAGCACTATTTCAAAAGTGATATTTCTATATCGATCTACAATTGATGTATTGAGCACTATTTCAAAAGTGATATTTCTATATCTCTCTACAATTGATGTATTGAGCACTATTTTAGCAGTAAAAATTTTTAGTTATTATTGTTTAATTAATTACCTGGATATTGTATTTTCTAGGTTTGATAAAAAGAGTAAGGAAATAAGAATAGCCAAAAATGGTCAAAAATTAATAGAATCTTCAAATGAACCACCACCTTCTCCAGTAGGAGAGGAGGAGAAAGCAGAGGCCACGACTGATACAGAGGCCCCTACTTCATCTACCGCCACACCATCCTCATCTCAGAATTCTCAAATAAATGAAGAAATAGCCAATGGTTATAGGTGAGATCTGAAGTATTATTTCTTTATATTAAAGGGACAGATTCACCATTTTCACAAATTGATTTGTGTCTTGAATATATGTTAATAGTCTTCAGAAGTACTGGAAATATATGAAAGTTGCATAATTCCTTCAAAAATATGTCTTTTCTATATATATATATGTCTCATAAAAAGACAAGTCGTCATTTTGATATTTGATGATTATGGACACACATTGAGTTGAAAGCTCAAATTGCTGTGAGTACTTACTGATTAGCTTAGTCGAAAAAAATTCCATTTCTGAGACTAAGGTTCAATTGGTCAAATGGTGAACCTGTCCCTTTAAGATATTAAAAAGTTTAAAACCTCAACTAAATCTGAGCAAGTAATATCATCAAAAACAAAAACATCAAAAAAGAGATCATTGGACAGCTTTTAAAATTACAGAAAGGGTAAAGACTGTTGGTATTGCGTGAATTTTAACTCGAAATCTAACAGAGTGATAACCTCTACCTTATTTATTATAGAACATGTTTACGATATTTCCTACCTCCACAATGGATTATGGATAAAGATGCTATTTCTGCCATGGCTGATCAAGAACTATCTGTCTTTCCATTAGATGATTTCTTTGATCATTATGAGCGTGGTCTACGAAGGGTGAGTGTTTTTATCTTTTTACTATGCTCCTTGTCAACTGGTCTTAATATGAAGCACCAAGATGCATTCTATTTGAAAGACTTTTTCTTTTTTTGGGACAAATATTGTAGGTCAATATCATGGGTGACCACTTGAAACCTCCTATAATATAATATTTTACGAGGTTTTAAATCTGACTGTTTTTATACATGTTATTTAATTGGTGGCATTTGAGTTATTTACAATCAAGCTAAGAATAAGGTTTTGATCACAAGATCCAGGCTTTTACGAGCTTTTGAATGCTACCAAAAAGTCCAAATGTCCACATATGGCATATACAAGGTTTCAAGCGGTCACCAACGATATCTGATATACTCTTCAATTTTTAGTCATTATTGATGTCTTCATTTTAATTTTTTCACAGTTGGTGAGTAATTTTCAAACAGAGGCTGCAGCCAGAAAACAGGAAGCTGATGAATCTAAAAATAAACTATCATCCTTACGTAAACTGATTGCCAAACTTCTTAAATCTATTAATGAGGTAAGTCCAAAATTACAATTTTCTGGATTTTTGTTTTTTACATACTGTTATGTTCAAAACATCATTTGATCGGTAAAAAAAAAGGAAAAGAGAAAATAATGCATTGCAGGCAAACCAACTTTATTGTTTATATGTTGAATTACTATTGTTATATAAAATATTGCTTTATCACACAATGGTTCTGTTCTCAAGTTCAAAACACAGGTTCATAGAAATGATATAAACTCGTGGCACAGGTTAAAGGCGTAAAATTGTTCCAAATAGCAAAATTTTGATTGAGTTATCACGTAAACATGTTTATCTAGATATTTGACAAAAATACTATTTGTTATGCAGACCTCAAATCAAGACTGTATTTAGAAAAGGTGGAAGGAATCTAAGGAAAATATGCATTTATTGATATTTGAATGATAAATTGAATCTTATGTAATTATGAAATTTATGAAATGAGTTGCCAGAGTTAAAATTTACCAAGCTTTTGCGAGGCACCTCATTCCATAATTTTTATATTACATAAGCATATAAGATCCTCTATTTATCAAACAGTGAAGAAACAAAACAAACAAACTAAGGAAGATTAAACTTTCATTGGAATCAATATTAATTCTGGATTGTTTAAATATTTGAGTTTTTTCTGGAATCAAATACACTATTTTGATGAAGGTAGGATCACATTCTCAATGACTGCTTATGTTTTTTTTTTGTAGGAATTTGATATAGATCCAGAAGCTGATGGTGAACAAGTAGATGAGTTATTAGCTGTTTGTGTACGTCAAGCTACACAATCAAATCCTAGTTAATCGATCACAAAATAGATATAACCAGGACCATTCTAAATGAAATCAAGGTTTGGAATAGTGTACTATTCAATTACCACCCCTCCACCACTTTGAACCTCAACTTCTCTTCTGCAACAATTTTACGCCAATAGTTCAAATGAGGTGTGGTTGCCAGTTGTACTGTTTTTGTACTACATTGAGGCACCAGCTGATTTGGACATCAGCTTCAAAATAGCAGTGGTAATCTTACATGAACCCCTTTTACATTACAAAATTTATCCGTTCTGAGAACGGAACAGATGAATTTTGTGTAATGTGAACGGTCGAGTGTTCTGAGAACCGTTCCAATTCTGTCTGCCTCGCTGAGGTGGTCTTGGAACTGTTCTTAGAACGGACGCAATGAATTAGTTTAATGCATGCCCCACAATAGACCTTCACCTTTTTCCCGCGTTATTTCGTCATCATTCTGTGAAATTGTGGCTTACATCCAGATTATATCAAGGTGACTACAGGGTTAATTTTAACTTCTTCAAGAAGAGTTTCACAGATAACCGTGCCGAGAACGCTTTTCATTTACACTTCAACTAAAGAACAGTTATCAGACTACTTGAGTTTACTGTCATGTAAATAGGCATATTTTATTGTGGCCTGATCTAGACCGAGAACAAAACACTTAGCTATTAACTTTTTTGAAAATTGAAATTGTAAACTGAAATTTCAACTGAAAAAGTATAATTTTTGATAGATAAAAGCAAACTGACATTATTTGGCTTTGTTGGCATTTAAATCACTTTAAGGTTATCGGTTTTATTTTGTCACTGTTTCAAAGAATTCTCATAAAAAAAGCGACTGAAAGTAAGGTGACAGTAAAGAAAAGAAGGTATTTGATCTTGAAGAATTAGAAGTCTCATCGGATATATTAAATTAGACTTAAATGGAAGTTTGACTTGTGTGAATATCCAAATTGATTCTAGAAACTTGGCAAGAGAAGAAAGTATTTTGTTCAAGATAAAGAGATTGAGTCTTCTAACAGTGACTTAAACATTTAAAAAATGAATTTTTATTAACACCAAATTACCAAGAAAACTCAGGAGAGCTGAGATAAAAATAAATCAGATTTATGAATCATTTTACAAGACAAAAATGTGTTTTGCTAGACAATTTACAATGTAGAAGGTTAAGTTCATGACAATGAATTTTACATTTTAATACTGTGGCACAATAGATATAATGTGTATATAATATATGTTATCTTCACAATCTCAAGCTATTACCAACTGTGTCAAATACCTTGACTACATTAGTCACCTTTCTTGTATTATGGAGTTTGTAAATGCAGCAATTTGGTTGAAATGTACGTTACTGACAATCTTTCTGTCGAGGGTTCTGGTTTATTCGCTTTATTCGCTGGTGTACAATTCAATCAAATAGCTGCATTCTGTGATACAAGAAAGGTGGCAGTCATTGTATATGACAAAGTTCATAATAGCTTAACATTGTAAAGATGTATATTCATAGGCTTATGTTGTAAATTCATTATTATGCTTACCAAAGTTGTTCATATTTTACTTTGTGTATATCATTTTTATATTCATCTTATTGTTCTGTTATTACTTTTCATTAGATTATAGCTAATTCTTTTTATGTATGTAAGATTTCTAGATTTTAAGTCCTGTTTGTGTTCAGTTTGTCACTGATTGCCCATATGAAACCCTGCATTTCCTTAACCACCTCAAACCTTTTATAATAGGTTTGATCTTGTTAGCCCTATCGTTACGGTAGGATCCCTGGGCTGGGCCCTAGCAAGTGAGAATTAAGCCCCAGCAAAACCTTCTTCAGTTCAGCAGAGATTAGTTCATTTACAGTGTATTTGTATAAAATCAAAAAGATATAGATTTTGATATGTTTTTGGCACCTCAAAATTGTCAGAACTGATTTCTCTGGGCCTTAAATTCTCTTAATTTATTTGAGTACAAAATCTGAGCCCCAGCACCAATTCATTCCTGGCTAGGGGGTCTTGGTCTGGTTCACATGATCCAAACTATCTTCTTTTGTGTTGTACAGAGATTTCAAGCTATTTTTAACATTATGTACATACTTGACATCTTTTCATTTAAACCATGATCATAATTATCATAAGTTTGTAAATGTAAATCATGTCATTAAATCATCATCATTGTAATCATAATCATGACTGTCTTAAAGGTTATAATAAAGTAGCCAAAACAGTGCTTAATAATGTTATCAGGGTTTTTTTTAATATTTCTATTTCAAACTAATGTCCTTAAATGAACCTTCTACAATTTGTTCCTATGTTGCCATACAATCTTGTCATTTCATTTCACAACCTGAGGCATATTTGTAGGCAGAATTGTATAACTAGTTGATTTGACTCTATATGCTGGACATGATCGATGAGGCTACTTGATTGACCGACGGTCAATATCCTCTATCTGACATCAAGTATAGTAGTTTTATATGTAGATCACGGTTCTAAAATCAACATACAACGTCGCCAAGTTCGATTCCTACAAGGATAAGAAACGGCTAGTCATATTATTTGTTTTTAAATGAAGCAATTTGATTGGATCGTGGGAAAATATAGACAGGCCTCATCAGCCTTTCTGTCAAGGGCACTGATTGGCTGTATTTGCTGGCGTACAATCCGCTGAAATCGCTGTGTTCGTGATTAAAAAAAGTTGCTATTGCAATCAAATTATAAGTACAAAGTTCGTCATGTAGCTTGCCATTGTGAGGATGATTATAGCCTTCGAAGACGATAGGTACCATTGCAAGAAGCAAACAGAATATAACCAAGGTATAATCCATCACAGCAACAGGAACATTACACCAGAGGGTGTTAATATCGGTATCAAAAGTGATGCAGAAATCACCATGTAATATACCTTGAATTAACAGAGCTCTTTTAAAACACCTAATACGTTGTATTGAGAACTGACAGACCAGTTTTCACCATGATTGCTAATCAATTTCCGAGAAGACTTCTGGGAAGAATTTCTGAAGTAGACTTATCGTTATCTCTTCATTCTACAATCTAAAACACCCAGTGTTAAAAATTCAATAAAAACCTGATACCAGATGAAAGTAACTGTCCAAGTTGACATGGAGCATGCTTTAAAAATGAATGCTATAATAAAGGAATTTCAGATTACCAGGCCTCCCATGAGCAAACCACATTTTATCACCGTCATTTGACACAGAAATCATTAAAAGAGAAGAGGGAAATAGTCATAATAAGAATATGACCATATCTATTTTATTATTGTGGAGTTTTTATTGGAGAAATTCAAGGCAACATCTATCGCCAAGTAGAGTATTTGATATGAGAGACTGTGGTAGAGTCTTACATAAAACCTGCCTTTGATGTGGAGTCAAATTAAAATTTGACTATACATGTTTACGTTTATTAGTTGGTGTTATATATTAATAGACGAATTGTGTACCAAACTTAATAGACCTAGAGATTTAATTGATCCGATTTTGAAACTTGTTTTGTACATGTATACCACATACTTGATAGATATACTAGATCATTATTTGTTTGACTAGAATATACTAGATAAATAGTTGTTTGACTAGGATATTATAGATCAATAGTTGTTTGACTAGGATATAATAGGTCAATAGTTGTTTAACTAGAATATAATAGATCAATAGTTGTTTGACTAGGATATAATAGATCAATAGTTGTTTGAATATAATAGTTCAATAGTTGTTTGACTAGGATATAATAGATCAATAGTTGTTTGACTAGGATATTATAGATCAATAGTTGTTTGACTAGGATATTATAGATCAATAGTTGTTTGACTAGGATATTATAGATCAATAGTTGTTTGACTAGGATATAATAGTTCAATAGTTGTTTGACTAGGATATAATAGTTCAATAGTTGTTTGACTAGGATATGATAGATCAATAGTTGTTTGACTAGGATATTATAGATCAATAGTTGTTTGACTAGGATATTATAGATCAATAGTTGTTTGACTAGGATATTATAGATCAATAGTTGTTTGACTAGGATATAATAGTTCAATAGTTGTTTGACTAGGATATAATAGATCAATAGTTGTTTGACTAGGATATAATAGATCAATAGTTGTTTGACTAGGATATAATAGATCAATAGTTGTTTGACTAGGATATAATATATCAATAGTTGTTTGACTAGGATATAATAGATCAATAGTTGTTTGACTATGATATAATAGATCAATAGTTGTTTGACTTGGATATAATAGATCAATAGTTGTTTGACTAGGATATAATAGATCAATAGGTGTTTGACTAGGATATAATAGATCAATAGTTGTTTGACTAGGATATTATAGATCAATAGTTGTTTGACTAGGATATAATAGTTCAATAGTTGTTTGACTAGGATATTATAGATCAATAGTTGTTTGACTAGGATATTATAGATCAATAGTTGTTTGACTAGGATATAATAGATCAATAGTTGTTTGACTAGGATATAATAGATAAATAGTTGTTTGACTAGGATATAATAGATCAATAGTTGTTTGACTAGGATATAATAGATCAATAGTTGTTTGACTAGGATATAATAGATCAATAGTTGTTTGACTAGGATATAATAGATCAATAGTTGTTTGACTAGGATATAATATATCAATAGTTGTTTGACTAGGATATAGTATATCAATAGTAGTTTGACTAGGATATAATAGTTCAATAGTTGTTTGACTAGGATATTATAGATCAATAGTTGTTTGACTAGGATATTATAGATCAATAGTTGTTTGACTAGGATATAATAGATCAATAGTTGTTTGACTAGGATATAATAAAAAATAGTTGTTTGACTAGGATATAATAGATAAATAGTTGTTTGACTAGGATATGATAGTTCAATAGTTGTTTGACTAGGATATAATAGATCGTTGTTTGACTAGGATATAATATATCAATAGTTGTTTTACTAGGATATTATAGATCAATAGTTGTTTAACTAGGATATAATAGATCAATAGTTGTTTGACTAGGATATAATAGATCAATAGTTGTTTGACTAGGATATAATAGATCAATAGTTGTTTGACTAGGATATAATAGATAAATAGTTGTTTGACTAGGATATAATATATCAATAGTTGTTTGACTAGGATATTATAGATCAATAGTTGTTTAACTAGGATATAACAGATCAATAGTTGTTTGACTAGGATATAATATATCAATAGTTGTTTGACTAGGATATTATAGATCAATAGTTGTTTGACTATGATATAATAGATCAATAGTTGTTTGACTGGGATATCATAGATCGATAGTTGTTTGACTAGGATATTAGCTGGGATTTGAACCATTCCGAGAAAGTAAAATTTCGTGTGAGTCCTTTGAAACTGCTTCTCCCTTCTTGGGTTTATCGTTGTGTTTACTGATACTGACAAATAATTTATGCCTTTCATTAAATTTTATTGGTCGTTAATACACTTGTATCAAGTTGATATAAGTGAAACCTAAACTCTGTTCACACAATACACGTCTTTAATGGACAGTTTACAATTACCTACAATGTACTGATTTACTACCGTAAAATTGGTTTATTTTGTCTATTTTGCGTGTGGCCTAAACCTAAAATTTCCATTATCCAAAAGATTCTAAAATATGCCATTTACATCTATTGTTTTAGTTAAAATTTTCTGATAAGTTAAGGGCCACGTTTTTAAACTTTAATGTATAGGTTTTGTAAATTTGAGCGCAGAAAATGTTTGACCAATATATATACAAAAATAAAGTAATGTCCCATTAAGAGAAGTATAGGTCCTGTTCAGGTGGTCATATTACTGGATTGAAAAATTTACCTATGAAATTAGTAATTTATAAATCCACATGCCGACAAAGCTAAGAAGCTACACATGAAATGAGTCCTAAAGCCAACCCTGATCATTCCAGAGGTAGTTTTAATACGCCCACATGAAATGGAGGCGTATATTGTTTTCCGTCCGTCAGTCCGTCCACATTTACTCGTAAACATTCAAGAGAGCACAATTTTTGACTGAGTTTGAAAAAACTTAGTACGATTGTTTGTAATCACCTAAGGATGAACCCTATTGAAAATTAGAAAAATCGAAAAATATTTTGCCCTTGTTTCTGAAATGCTCGTAAATACTCTAGAAGGTTAAAATTTTTAACAAATTTTGATGAAACTTGGTGTGAGTATTTGCGATCACCCAAGGACAAAACCTATTGAAAATCAAAAATATCGAAAAATAATTAGTAAGAGGTATTGCCCTTGTTCTTGAAAACGCATTCAATTTTAGCTTGTAAACACTCTAGAAGGTTCAATTATTGACTGATTTTGACGAAACTTGGTGTAAAGGTTTATCTTCCAAGGATGAACCCTATCGATACTCAGAAATATCGAAAAATGTTTAGTATGAGTTATTGCCCTTGTTTTTAAAAAAAACACGTTCAATTTTTAACTCGTAAACACTCCATAAGGCACCATGCTTGACGGATTTAGATGAAACTTAGTGTGAGTGTGAGTAATCACCCAAGGATGAACAGTATTGAAAATCATAATAATCGAAAAATATTTAGTATGAGTTATTGCCCTTGTTCTTGAAAACGCGTTCAACTTTTAGCTCTTAAACACTCTAGAGGGAACAATTCTTGATGGATTTTGACGAAACTTCTTTTGAGTGTTAATTATCATCCAAGGATTAACTCTTTAGAAAATGAAAAAAATCGAAATATATTTAGTATGTGTTATTGTCCTTGTTCTTTAAACGCATTCAATTTCTAGTCTGTAAGCACTCTTAGAAGGCACAATTCTTGTCAAATTTTGACGAATCTTGGTAATATTATACAGTATCAGCCCTAAAAGGTTCAAAAGAAATGTATGGCTGAAGGTTGAATATTTCATATTGGTGATTGTTACTGTACTGCCAAATATTTTTATTCAAAATCAAAGCTGCTAGTAGGCCTATATTACCATGCCTGTCAAGCTATCTTTTAATGTTTTTTTTTTTCGAGCCATTTACTTGGCTCAAAGCAGAATATTCAGAAGAGACTGAGATAAAAATAAAGATGTAAATTCAATACCTTTATTACAGGTAAATTATATGGAAAACAAAACAAGAAATATAAGCAAAATATACAGAATTAAACAAATAGGAATGAGATTCAATAATGATTTTTGATAGACTTTGGATTTCAATAGATATTAAATAATATTTACAATTATATATACATCTTTTATATCTTTTTTTCACTAACATGTCATTTTTTCCGTTCACGTTTCATCAATTAGTCCTTTTAGTCCAGTTTAACAAGGTACAAGTTAGTCCAGCATAGTCAAGTCACTATATAAGATCTAATATATTACAGATAAATTGCACATTTTAGCCTTTTCAATATAAATTGTCTTTTAATAAGCAAATCATAAAGACTTGTCAGCACCGATTAGCCCAATCACACCTGCGTAGATTAGAAAGTCTTTGCGTATCACTACGCGGCTAGCTCCGGCTCTTTCGCGACTTGATGTTCATATTAAATAAGTTAAGTCGATTTCAACTGACCAATCTTCAAGTTCAAGCCATAGGTCCTGTGAAGTTCATGTTCATCATGTGCATATTGGGAGTGAGATGGGATGTGTAGGGTTGACCAGATTGCATGTAGGTGCAAGATGATAAAGATGGATGATGTTGTGGTGGTGTCGTTCTGATACCATAGCCATGTGATGGTGATGCTAATCCAGGTTGTCGTAGAGCGCAGTCGTTAGATTGTCCTGATAACCGGCATGGTTGCATCTGCGAGTTCATAGAGAAGAGACTGCTTGTCATTGGTTGTAAGAGACCACCGGTAGTTGAAGAGACCGGAAGGAATGAACTGCTCTGTACTCGGCTAACTGCTGATGCATGGTGGTTGTAGTAAGACTGGTCGTTTGGCATACATTGGTTGTATGATTTCATGGTTCCGAACTGACATGGGTTTGGTAGATCAGGACTGGAATCGTGATGAATTCTGGGTTTTTCCATTGGCGAGATGCTGTCTGATTTCAAGCATGATGAAAGATCACTATCACTGACGTCTGTTGGAGAGCTTGCTGAAGAATCCGTCAGTGGGTCGTTAAGTTCAGATTTTGGAGTAACTGGTGATGTGTGAGCAGTGGTCTTCAGTTTCATGGTGGATTGATCGACTTCATCTAAGCTCTTCAGTCTTTTAGCTGGGTTTTCAACTGAAATGAAAAAGATGATTAACCATTATTGCATGAAGACATCTTCTTGTTTATTTACTAATGAAGTCAAGTGTCACTGATTAGCCTCTTGCACAAGTTCGAGATCAGTCAGTGGTTTCTACTAGAGCTATTTAGTGTCGGCTGTACTTGAAGACAAGTTTTACACCTTTGACAATACACAGATACAACAAACACCAAATGTTCCAATAATTTGTCAATTGTTTAAAGCCATCACGTAAGAGTTTTGAAAACGACGCAAATTAACTTGACTATAGTTTGTCTGTCATTACGAACTTGGGTAATTAAAGGCCTTAATAATGTAATGGCACGCGTCTATTGTTGCCTAATTTATATGTCAACGGTGGGTGGTCATTGTTGGAAGGTGACGACAAATACAATCACCGCTTCAGATACTCTTCACAAATAGGGTAGCAAAGCGGAACAAGAGATTTTATTTACTCGGTGTTAAGTACTAGCTAATTCGTTGGTTTATTGAAATGAATAGATAATTTACCATGTCTCAATATTATAAGAGCAAGTGTCAGAAATAAAATCGGGCTAATTTTCAGTTGATTTTAGCATAGAAAGAAAGACAAAAAGCAATTTAAAACTTCATTGATATCGATTGAGGCCACTGTATGAAGCAATGATCTTTAACATTTTGGTAACGTTGGAGGATTTCAAGCTACCACTGTACGAGTATTCCATACCAGGTGTGGTTGAGTAGACTAATCGAGTTATCTATCACAAGGTGTGAACACTTACAGTAATATTGGAAGAAGCGACTCTCTGATCTAATTATGTGTCTTCATTAATATTTCAACGGAAAGAGTTTAATCACATCTCTCTATGAGACGAGGCTTTCAAGTCAATAGCAGATCGGTCGAACGACGACAAGAAGGTGTGAAATTTCAAATCGCCGAGGAATGAAATGCGCCTAATTTGACGAACTAAGCGAGAATTCAATCCAAAACTTCTACACTTAAAGTGGGAAAATGCTTAGAAACATCGGATTTGAAGAAAAAGCTTGACAAGAGAGTGAAATAACAGATGTGTAATTTAATTAAAGAGCTAAGACAAATGGGGAAAGAGAAAAGAAAAGTTGAAGCCAATTTCACTTTACAACTAAACATTTTCCCTATTTTCTACCGTAGTGGTATTGATCGGTCGTCATTTAAAATACCTGTTTGTCCTTCCACCAGGAAATGAATATGGTGTCACGATGCTATCGTCATTTTTAACAAACACTGATTTCAAACTTACCTCTATTTTCATCGCTACAATCATCTTGACTGTTGGGCCTCTTTAAACTAAGTCTATGATCCCTAAAATTCAAATTATCAAAAGTTTAAAATATGTTTTTGGCACTAAATGGGAGTCTTACTGAATTGAATTGAAAGCGAACCAAAAAAAGAAAACAATTAATTTAAAAATAATAAATACAATACTGACCTCCTTGCCATTCCATTATCACGGAAACCTTTAGCAAATGGATTGTTGTCAATTTTCAATTGAGTAATCTGAAACGAATAAAAATGAATTTATTATTCCATGGCGAAAGAATTGAATGACCTTTGTAACAAGAATACGAATCTATTTAAAAGTCAGTGATTCTTAGTTCAGCAATTCAAATTAGAAATTCACGTTTTGGCTGGTCCTCGAGAGACTAGAGTTGACAGTACGATAACTATTGTTATAAATGAGAACTGTTACGGAAGAAAAATAGCCAAATTCGCACTTTCTATACAGACTGTATATGCTTAAGTGCCATTTATCACGCTAGTCATAATGACTTGCACGCTAACTTTGCTAAATTTCTCGCCATTGTTTCCAGAGCTAAATCATCATCGCTAAATGACCTGACTGCTTCATTTCTAAATAAAGAGGCATCAAACAGAATGAAAATTCTAAAGATATAAGCCTTCAGAAGAAGAGACGAGCTTCAATTGAGTTGGGCATGCAATGTTTCACTTCAATCACGTTACGTCATTCAATGTCGTTACACAGGTGTGGATGTTATCATTTATTCATATTTCACCAGAAAAAAATCTCATTGAGAAGATCAATTTCAGTCGAACGAAGAATTTGATATTTATTCATTTGAACATTGTCTGGAAGATTTTTAACACTTTAACTTCTAATTTTATATTGTTAATATAGAAATATTCTACGTTGCCAACAATTTTCAAATCATTACGCTCACTTTTGCAAAAAAAATAATTTCAAATTGAAAAACTGTCCTTACCTGTTCATTTTGATAAGCTGTAACACCAATAAAGATAGTTTCTTCGAAAGCAAAAGTATTGAATGTGTTCCATCTCATAGTGAAAATATCATTGGCTTGTACCACATGAATTCTTGGTTGATATTTGTGCATAGAATTCAATATAACCTGCAAATGTAATAAATAATTTTAAAGTCAAAATCAAGACGTCGTTTGTGGAAGATTTTCAAAAGCAAGGATCTGTTTTATTATGGGCCCCAAGAGGCACACATCGATCGACATATGGCATTCCATTTATCACAAATTTATGTTTTTGTAGTCTTGGTCATTTGAGTAACTTGCCTTTTTAATTATTAATCTCTAGATTTTTATGTAGACACAATAAATAGAATTAGTGAAATATGGCCCACGACGAATGTAGGAAAGAATAACATTATTTCCAAAATTTCGATGATTTGCGTAAAACTGGGCTCAACGAATATTGACAACAACTACAATATTGTTGAAAGCAATCAAGAGAAAGATATCTTTAATATTACTAAGATTGATTCTTAATAACCCTTTCAAGACAATTTAATAGAAACACTTTTCTAGTCTAATTTCTTGTTTCCCATTGGGAGTTTCAATTACATGTTACGCCAATCAACAATTTGTAACAACCGTTATTCAGCCCGTATCATCATCGCTGTGGTACATTAGGGACCATGGCACGCGTTCATAATATTGATAGCTTCAATACAATATACAATATGCCCCCTTTTAACAAATTATCATACTATTTCTCCCAAAAACACGATCGTTATTTAATGAAAATTAATAGTTTGCTCAAAATATTATTTAAGAATAAATATATTTTCACGAAACAATTCTAGGTTTATTGATGGCCTTTGACAATGATAAAGGCGACTACGATCTATTTTACTTGCGGAAGGACACCTGGGGATTTCAGACCTCACGCTAAACCCTGGAGTAGCTTTAAATGAATTTCGATTCTTATTAAGTATGTCCGAGTCATTTCTCAAATCATACAAGCAATGTCAGCAGATTTAATGAATAGTTTTGTGTATCTGGATTAGGAAATAGTTTTGAATTGTAAGATGCAAACTTGAAATGGAATAAATTTAAATGATTGGCTCCCAATTCTAAGAAAATAACTTACATGTCCATTTTGATCGAGATTGTTGTTGGTAAGTTTGAGCTTATGAAATGGTACTGGTTGCTTCATCCAATGGGCACCAGAAGCAGGTGAATCTGGGTGAATGTACAAACGTCCTGGCATATGAGGTTCAGCTTTACCAGTTACAACCCATTCTGAATTATGGTATTTGTATCGGCAGTCATCAACAGGTACCAAATCAACGAGTAGAATGTATTTAGCATGTGGGTCTAATCCCTCTAAACTACACTTAATTACTGGAAACATACGTCTGCAAAACAAATACAATATGGTTTTTGGTTATCGAAAAATTGCACTTAAAAATTGTTTTTGTTGAAACCGAAAAGTCTAGACTCTAAAAAAATATTTTTGATTTAGAAAATGTTGAAATATAACCGTAAGAATAGAAAGGTGCAAAAGTCTGACAGGTGCGACGACAAGTAGGGGAGGTCACCCATTATTACGTCATTTCCTTTAACAATAGATAGATATAGACGGAGATAAATATAAAGTGTGCTTCTATAATTGAAGTATATTAACATACCAGTACTATGGTGTTAATTGAGTATAATTCAAAAATTTTATTATTGATGTAAATTTTACACCTTTTTCTGGGCCCCTATTGATATTGAAATAGTACACTATATCAATGAAGGCTTGTTTTCTTAGATTTTGAAATTCAAAAAAGGTGGGGTAATTCTAAAGGCGGCAAGCTGATCAAATAACCAAAAATTCAAAACTAATGAATTTAAAATAGAATTTGAGAACAAAATTACGACGGAAACAAGATGTTACATACTGCTTAGTAATTCATAATCTTTCAAAAAATTTGGATACGGATATCATTTTCAACAAAACTTTCAATTAAACAATGCATGCATATTATGAGGAAAAATATTTTGTATTTATTTGGATTCTATGCAAGTGTCAGTGTAATCATTCATCTAATTAATATAACACCTAATGAATTCATATTTTCGTGATGATTTATCCTTTTTATGTTTGATATATTTTTTTAAAATCCGGATCTAAATACAAACTGATATTCAGCATCTGTTACCATCCTTGAAATTTATCCTCATCTTCGAATCAATAATGAAGAGCTAAAATTTTAATTATTTCAGGTGTTTTGTGAAATGAATTATTTGTCCCAGGAAGTTGATTTTGATGTATTTTTCACATAATTATTCTAACCAATTGTCCGATATAGTCAGATATCAAATACAACTTATTATTATACAGTTATTTTCATAAACAACGCGCCTTTTAATAAAAAATAGAAATTACCTTCCAGTCTTTGTGATAATCATTTCTGTGCCAATTGAGTGAAATTTTTGCCACAAATCTCGGTTTTCGAGGTTGATTTTGATATTTTTATCCACCGATTCATTTTGTCCAGTGGATAACATTCTTTTGGGGTCTGGGGTGGACAAGTGGGAGTAACCACCATACTGTTGTTGACCTGCGAAATAAAATAAATACAATATTTCACGGTTTCGGAGAAGCTATTGGACAACTAAATAATAAAAAAAATATGCACTTTTATTGTGGGGAAGAATTGTTTTAAATACTAACTGTTATAATTATTTTCTAAGGCATAACAGTCTTCGAAAAATTGGTATTCTGATTCCATAGTGATTTCTGTAGAGAATGTGTGACTTGAATAGGTAGTGAACGATGTTTGCAGTTCGAAATCAAAACGAATTCTGATACCTCTAGCCAAGAACGGCTCGTTTTTATACTCTCCTAAAGATCTGTGCTTTCTTAATCTCAGCTCTTAATGCGTTTGTTATTTTTCCGATATAAGTACGTGTAGTTTATAGATTACAAATACAAACTCGTGGCGTTTTAAACAAATAATTCTTTTGTCCAGTTCACAGTTCAAGTGAATAAAATAGATTAACACTCTATACCCCTACCGTTGAAATCAGATTAACCCACAATGTGTGCGGTTCGTTTACCGTACAGATTAGAACTATTTGATATTCTTACACAAACTAAGGGTACTGGATGATCTAGACAATTTTAAATTGAATCGAAAAAATCAAATCAGTTTAAAATGGTCACGTGATCTCTCATGATCGAATTTAGCAAATGATGCAAGAATACGAAAACCAATTTTTATTCAAGAAAAAAAAATTAAAAATTAAATTCGCATGATTGAAATATTGCAAAAGTGGCAGAAAATATGTGATATGCCACATTTCTAAGTCAAACTTTATTAATATACTTGTATTTGAAAAAAATATATCTTACTAGCAAGTCCCATTGGGTCATGAGCAGGGTGCATGGGAAATCCAAAACCGAACGCTTGAGGTGTTGGCATCAAACCATGGCTAAGAGGGAAAGCTCGGGCTCTTTGGCTCAGAATATCTTCCTCATACATGATTACTGTTTATTATATAGAACTGAAATTTACAAAAATAATAATGAGTTTTATACAAAATATCTATCTAGAAAAATCACAATTATGAATATATAGAATAATATTTTCGTAAAATAATTATGAGATAAAAATATACTTATATATTATAAACTATGTAGAAAAAATAACAATTTTATAAGAAATTAAACGAAAAGGCGAACGTTTTCCTAAAAGTTTAGTACATGTTTCCCGATATGGGATGAAATGTTAATAAATTTTTTAGGTGAATTAGGTAATGTGATATACACAGGGTCTTGTATATTTTATTTCATCATGACGAAATCCACAGATTTTAGATGCAAATCACGCAACCTTTAGCGCTGAAATAGCCAGAATTCAATCGATAGGTTTTTTAATTAATGATATTCTGTGCAGTGGAGGTTCAATAGAATTAACCTGCTCATTCAACACGGTAATTTAAGAACAAAAGTTTGTTTGATGAAATTGACACCTTAATGCAATATTCAGAAGATTATTGACTACCTTATTCTACCGTCATATCAACCGTCTTTCTTCTATTAGACTAATACTTTTAATTATTAATTTGTTAATTAGACTATCTATTACATCACGATACCTAATACTGATTTTATTTTTATCCAGCAAATTACGGAAAGTCCGGGTATTACAAATTTAAAAAAAAAGGTTTTCTGTTATAGTATTTTATTCCTATTTGATTTATCAATATAAATGATATTTATTAATTGGCAATAAATCACGATATGATTCCTATGATATTTTTTTAATTTTAATTTTTTCAATCTTGTGATTTACCAATCAAATGCATACCAAATACATCCTTTTAATTTGACTATACCAAATACGTGACGAATGATTTTTAATTTAGAGATTTCTTGAAATTTTTCTTTCTTATTTTTGAAATAGTTTTTTAAAAACTAAAAAATATTTTTCAATTTCATTTTATTCCATTTGATATTTAGTAAATAAGATTAATCTCTCATTGGTAAAATTTACTCTTTATAGTTTCCTTAAATCCCGATTCTATAGAATGCGTTCTCGTTTTAGCAATTCCATTTTATCCGCCTGATTTTGGAATATGAATTACAGCAATGGCTGTGTATTTCAAAGACTTAAAAGAAAGTTTCGGTTTAGAGGTTTTAGAAAAACAAAAAGAATATATATGTATATAAATTTAACTAACTTAGAGAGGTGATATATACTCCAAAATTTGAAACGTTTGCTTGGTATCTTTTTATAACTGTAAATTTGTTTTTGTTTCTGAACAGTTTGTTGCGAAATTAATTCTATAAATATTGATATATATGTACACATTTTTAAAAAAGAAGATTATCAGAAAAAAATGCCGTGTTAAGTTTTATTTTAAAATAATAGCTTTTAAAATAGAGTCAAACTGCTTTGCAATTTAAAATATAAAAACTCTGAATTACACAACTATAAAAATACATTGGAAGGTGAATATTTTGATTCCGGTTTTGCAGATTTTCTTACATTTGACACATTGATCGTACTTTTTCATATTTTGATTTAACAGAAAATATGTAAGATATGAATATAAAATTTAAAGTGTCTTACCTTAGCGAAGAAAAAATAATAAGCCACAAGAAAACTTGCTACAAGATGACAATCGAGTTAAATAAGACACCTTCGAATTTTTTCACTAAAATTCAGTAAAATTCACCAGAAAGTTGTTGAATTAGCAAATAGTACTGTAAGGTTTGATGATATGAGTGTTGTATGTTGGTACTTTGACCATTACAGACATTTATATGTGACTCGGAGACACGACTCTTGTCTTTCAATCATTCTTAACCCCGCCCCTTATCCATATTATTCTACCGATCAACGACCAATGATTTGAGCAGCTTAACTTCTCGTCTGCTACTGTCGAGCTGGCGCCCAACACAATTCAACCGTAATAACATCAATTGATAGTGAAAAACAAACAAAACTTCCGTCGTGGAGAAGGGGTTGGGGTACTCGAGAAGATTTTAATGCTCAAGTGAGAAAATCTTCTCATTTACCGTCAAACTATTGTTCAAATTTCAATAGAAAATCCTTAAAACAAAAAGAGGGCCATTAGAGGTGGCGTCCATTTCGGCGAGAAAAGTAGAGAGCATTTTGGTTAGGAATTAAGATTTTGGAGTATATTAAAATCGTTTCAAGTGTCTATTAGTGTTTGACCCTCTATATTTCACTGTCTTTACCATTCTTTATGTCAATATTAGTACTCTAATATTTTAATATTCAATACCAACATTTTTGTTGGAAATCTGGAAGTCGCCACGACGTCGCAGTACAGAATTATTAAGCCATCAGTTCTATACGGAAAATAAAGTTTTAAACAATAAATAAAAATAACAGTATCTGTAATATATCACTTTCTTGAAATAATTTTGTGAAATTTCTCATATTAAATTTGTGAATTTTCAACTTTTTTTCCTAATTTTAACACATTAATATTTACGATTTTGTTTTGTTTTTCACATCATTTTTTACAGTAAATAACATTAAATTTTGTTGCTTTCATTTACATTTTATATAACCTGCACGAGATTCATTCAGTTAATTTTCTGGGCAAAAATTTATCAGACAATTATTAACCTATTGGCAATTAAATAAATAGCAAATTCGGTGCTGTATAATATTTGCCACAAATTATTTGCCACAAAGTTTTTAAAAAATATTTAAAGCGGCTCATATTTTTATAACTATATGTATTCGTTCTGATTTTCAATGTGAACAGTTTGATTTGAGTCTGCCTTGATAATCATGCCCTATGTATGTTTGTAGAATCAAATTATGATGTTTTTTGTAACTGATCGAATCTGATTAATTCCGTTGATCGCAGAGACTCATTTGAAAGATTTACAGACATATACGAAGATTTTTGGCGATGATCGGCGAATCAACTACGGAAATAATGAGTGAATTTTTTTTATGAATTTTTCTGAAAATGAATATGAGCCATATAACATTGAAGCAAAATTCAATCGAATATATTATATATATTTGAGAAAAGTTACAATTTTATTTGCGAACAATATTGTGGTATTTTACTAGTACAGTTTCAATTTATTAGCTTACTGCATAGATTTGTTTGCATACTAGAAACATTGCTAATAACTTAAAGTATTTTTTAAACCTAATGTCTAAATGTACCAGAGTCATGTGCACTTTGGGTTTAAATGGTTTTCTAATGTTTGATGTTTACAACATAAGTGATTTCAATATTCAAACATCATGTTTTGTTCTGTTTGATCGAAACGATCTGAATAGGCTACTTGTCTATGATACAGTTCTTCAATCTCAGAACACTCAGACTTCTATAAGAATGTCTAGTAAATTCGATTGAAATGTTTGATATTTCGATTTGAATTGGCTAAAGAAATTTGGACTTCACAATAGTCTATACGAAACAGTTGTTCGAGATTCGACTAGGATTTACGTGCGACTGTCTAATGAATTTGATTAAAAATGTTTGGTATTCAATCATGATGTTTGCTTATGTTTGATTGAAACGATCTGAATTGGCTTAAGAAATACCAGTCTACGACACAGTTTTTTCAAGCTTAGATCATGATTTATGTGCGACTGTCTAATAAATTCGATTCAAAATGTTTGATATTCAATCATGGTGTTTGATTGAAACGATCTGAACTGGTTTAAAAACTTTGGTTTTCACAATACCAGTCTTCGACACAGTTTTCAAGCTAAGACGATTCCTATGCGACTGTCTAATAAATTCGATTAAAAATGTTTGGTATTCAATCATGATGTTTGCTTATGTTTGATTGAAATGATCTGAACTGGCTTAACAAATACCATTTTTTTTCAAGCATAGATCATGATTTCCATGCGACTGTCTAATGAATTCGATTAAAACTGTTTGGTATTCAATCATGGTGTTTGCTTATGTTTGACTGAAATGATCTGAATTGCCTTAAAAATTTAGTCTACGAGACAGTTACTCAAGCTTCGACTATAGGATCTGTGCGACTGTCT